GACTTGGCAAAGTGCCAAGGAGCCGCACGCGACAGGCGCGCTTGCAACGGATGTTATGAACGGCAGGATTCTGGGAGCATGGAAGAATTAGCGTGTTTCACGGCCCTGTATCTCCATTCCTGGGCATGTTTGGGCGGGGGGACCACGACACATCGACATCTGGGGGGCTGATAGTCTCATACACCCTCAATGTGTATGAGCGTACTATGTGTCTTTAAGTGGATACCTGTGCTTTGAGCCACGAAATGATAGCAGCCACAAAGGTTTTAGAGGCCATACCAAACCTTGTAAAGAGTACCTGCCAACTCGTGTGAAGCAGTGAAATATCATATAAATACCATTCACCACAACTTACTCCAGCTTCACAACAGCAAGACTTGTAAACTGGAACAGCGAAATAGCAATCCCCCTTTCCCCCAGCAAACTGCGCTCACCATATCCGCATTTTAGAACCGTGTAACTCTTCCCTGATTCCAAAAGGAAACCGAGAGAGCGTCAGGGAGGCAAGAGCATCCCGAGCATTCTGACCCCCAGCCCAATTTCAAAGAAGAAAATGACGAAGATTTCCAGAGAAAAAGGAGAGGATTTCAGAGGAAAAAGTGTGGCGACAGTAGAAAAAGACCTGGCAAACCGGTTAACCAGATTCATTGGTTCGATTCTCGATGAAGCCCATAAGTCTTCGAAAATTCGAGAACATTCATCAGGAAAAACACTCCACTACCAAAGTGATCCCTTGTCTACTGTGGACCTGGACACTAATATCGGAAAGCAAAAAAACACACACACTGTTTCTTAGAGAATCGAACCACTGGTTCGGGATGGTCGAATCGCATGTCCGAAAAAAGACGGGCATAGAAAATTTTTCCTGGAGCTGCAGCCGGGGCACGTGGGCACCAGTAAAACCCGCCAATTCCCTACCCCGTCGCCGAACTGCGCCTGTAGTACATTTGGAATTCCCAGCGAGGGAGGTGGGGGAGGGATGGCTGCAACTTTTCCTACTTTTTCCCGTTTCCCGTAAGCTATGTGCTATACCTCCTCCCCGCTCGATGGCATTTGGAGAACTTCCCTCCAAACTCCAGAAAACTGGTTAAGCTGGGCGAATTGAAGATGAAAGATAGAATGGGATGGACAAGGATACACGCACCAGGGTACAAAATTCAGATGCTAGCTCGGTGAACAAGAGGCCTAGGTTTAATTTCTTACTGGGGGATGCTTTTGCCTACAAGCCAGCACTGCTATGGTAATTTTCGGGTAGCGAACTGCGGCGGAACACATCATTTACCACAGCAAAACATATTGGAAGGTTCACTTTGCTAATGTTTTTATTGGAGGCATCGAAAGAACTCCAGTAGTTTAGCTCTCAACCACGACTTGGAAAACAATAAATGCAAACAGCTTGGAAATAAATTTCAAAACTGAACTAAAGTAGTCCAACTTTTGTACAAAATGAATGTTAACAATGAATGTCAAACGTACTCTGATTATGATTCGTGTGATTCTTTGACTTGGCCATCTCGGCGGAATATTACCTGAAAGCGTCTTATCAAAAAAGTGAATACAAAAAAGCTTGAACAGATTAAGGGAAACGTTAGTCCCTCGAGAGGACCTCATGGAAACAAAAATGCGATATCATAGC